GATTTTCGGCCACTGTTCATCATCTTCTTCCTCGGGTCAGTTTTAACATTATCATTTTTAATCACCAAACTTCAATTTAATTATATAAAAATGTTCTCCAATGTTCACAGATCATTTTAGAGTCATTAATTCGTAATTTTAACAACAATTTCATGGTTTATGATTCTTGGTTCTTCAAACATGTCAAACACAAAACTCAACCAAACGACCGTTTATGAACGTAGAAACGATCTATACGAACATTCTAGTCACTAGATATATCTACGGGCTTACCTCGAAGCTTATCGAAGGTTTTGAGAATTTTCCGGCGAAACTTCCGGCGACGATTACTCTCAGCTCCGGCGACCTCTCACCAAATTGACAACACCAATGAACTCTCCACTAAACAAGGAACTGAATGATACTAAACTTACTAAGTTTTGGTGCAGAAATGGAAGCTGGTTTTTCCTCCTTATATAGGAAAATGGAGAAGGAAGAAGACAATCATGTAGCTAGTTCTGCGTAGGAAATGACTCATGATCGGCTGAGTGGAGGAGGGGGCGCCGTATGCACAGTCTCCCTGATTGGGACTAATTTTGGTTCCAGTTGGGGTACACTTTTTGGTCCAACTTTCTCCAAATTGAAATTCGTTCGCACCGTTGCGATCAGACAGTCGAATTCTATTCAACGACATACTTTTCATAATTATTTGTAATACTTTTTCCGACATCATATTTTTGGGTGGTTGACTTTGATAGAGTAAAAATTGGTTTAATTGACTTTTCTCATAAAAGGTTCTCTTATTTAATTCATATCAATTATTCTCATGATTTATTTTAACAAATCATTTAAATATTTACATTATAAACAAATTTTTCATTTACTCTTGATTTGGGTCTGTACTATGGTTTCCAATCAATATCACACAATTAGTCAACATATTGGATTTATCTCTATGAGACTTATCCAGATTTTGATATTGGAAATTAAAACATATTTCATATCGGCCCAAAGCCTAACAATAATTTATTTTAATCAAAACAAATTTGATTAATTGAATTATTCATTAATAATTTTAGGATATGTTTTGGGGTGTTACATTTCTCACCCCCTTAAAGAAATTTCGTCCTCGAAATTCTTCTAAGGTCCACAATCAACATTTGTTGTATTCATAATTAATTGTGACAACGTCATGTTCGCATGGTTACGTTTTATCTTATAGATACGTATTCTCAAATCGTTGATGTTACCAAACTCGTTCAATATTCGTGAGATTAATAAATTTCGATTAAGCAAGGCATTCACTGATCCTTTCAAACGTTTCCTTCAAAGTGTGTAGTATTGTATACTTGACATATTTGCACATAGCTTCGTTCAGTGGCGAGTCTTGTTTGCACGTCATTGCTCAACGGAATTTCGTTTCTTGATTGAAAAGTTCTTCAATATCCTTCATAGAAGGTTCACGATAGGCATACTTGAAAACTTGGAAGGTATATCAATTCATACGTCGTAAGCTTCAAGTTACTTAAATGGTCATTGTCTTAAGGCATTAGCCATTTTGACTTTTTGTCTCAGATTTGAACATATTTCAGGACAACGAATCTAACTGTTCATGAGTCTCAATATGTCATATCGTAAGTAGACTGTAGTATTGGCAAGTATGTCATTGTCAATAGGTAAATTGAATCTATCTTTGCTGTTCAAAATTCGACTGAGGATAACTACTCTTTTTCTCAAAGGTCAGGTTTCAAAGCCTATATATATATCATGATTGTGGCAAGAGTATCTCACATTCTCACATTATGGAAGGAACTTCCCGAACTTTTCCTTACACCATAAAATTTGTTGGTCTACTTGGTAGTCATGCTCTTGGTAGAAATCCAAAGTTCATGGCTACGACGGTGGATTTAGGAAGGGAATTGGTAAGGCAAAAAATTAGACTTACCTATGGAGGAGGCAACGTTGGCCTTCAAGGAGCTGTTGCTTCAACAGTCTATACCAATGGTGGTATAGTTAGAGGCTTCATACCAGGGTACATAGCAGCACGACAGGTCTACGGACCTACGTATGGTGCAGAATACACAGTTTCAAGCAATTACTATAAGCATTTCGAGATGAATCATGTAGTGGAGGCCTTTATCGTACTTCCTGGAGGGATTGATACTATGGAAGGTTTGTTCACTTTGATCTCATGGGCATCTGAAGGGTTGCACAGTAAAC